ATCTTAAAACCTTGTTTTTAGTCCTTTCAAATATAATAATGATAACGATAATAAACATGCATTGAGCGTTTTTTCTGTGCCAGGCGCTCTTCTTAGCACTTAAAAGTATTAACTCATTTAGCCTCTAAAAATCCTCTAAGGGAAGTGCTGTCATTATTCTCATTTTACAAGTCGGGGACTTGAGTACCTGAGAGGTTTGTAAACTTCCCCAGGAGATGAGGGAAAGCGTAACCGTTGCCAATGGAAAGTACGTGGTGGTTCTTACTAGCTTCCTGACCCCCTCTTCTCCCAGGCTGGGAAAAATGGGGGATATTGATAGCAACTGATTAAATTTGGATTGTCTGGGCTTTTCTGGTTTTTGAAGGAAGATTATTGTGTACATAAATCTGGAAAACACAAATGTCCGTCTAACTCCCTATTTCTGTCGTGAGTCCCGTTGATGGTAATGATATCAGTGAATGGATGGGAAATGACAGGATTTTGTTGACATATATTTTTGTTTTGTTTTTTTCTCCCAAAGTATGAGAGATTTCTTCCCCCCTTTGTTGGACAACAGGGAGTCCTGAACATTCATGATCTTTTCAGAGTCTGTGCCCGTGAGTGAGGGCTGTTCAAGTTATCTCTTAAGCTGTTTCCACATCTGTTAATGCAGATGCAAAAAGTTATGTTTTGATTTCTTAGAATTGTGTGCTCTATAGAGAACTCTGGACATTATCAGTGTTGGTGTGCTCTGGGTTACACAATGACATCAGATTTTGTCACCTCAGTGTGATCATTGGGCCAGATGGTTTCGCTTGTTCTCCCCTGGGGCCTGGTAACCCGTTTTTATATACTCTCAAGACTCTGATTTCCTTTTTAAAAGTCACTGTGGCTCCATTTTTTTTTTATGTTAATATTTACTGAGCAATTCATAATTTAGCACTGTGCCTGATAAAGATTCACTTACTTAACCAATGAGAAACCCAAGTTAGGGATAACTTTATTCCCATTTTACAGATGGGAACCAGACAAACAGAAGTTCCGAGAGCTTAAACCCAGCTAGCCAGCAGCAGGGCTTACATTTTACCACTACACCGTCTCACTTTTATATGGAGCATTTCCCTTCATTCATTGTGCTTGTCCTATTTCCTTTTATCTTAATTTCTATTTCTTCTTCACAAAACCCTAAAACATCCTCATGCCTATCGTTTGTCTCAAATCTTTTCTCAGCCTTTTCCTTACTTCTTAGTCTTTCAATTCTTGGATGCTTTCTTCCTCTCCTCCCACAACCCCTGGACCATAGACTTCTGTTTCATACTGACTACCCTTTCTTACTCTTTGCTTATTCTGAACTGAGATGTCTCCTTTGGGGGATGGGGGGTCCTCATACATGTCGGACAACAAATCAGCTCTTGAGTGCTATTGTTTGGACAAAATAATAGTTTTTTTTTCCCAAAGAATGTGATATCTTGACTGATGTCACAATATAAAAAGTGACAAAATAGTTGACATTATTAGATTATAATATTTTAAACTTATTGACGACCACAAATATATGTCTTTGCCAACAGTTCTCCAGTCTGATTCAGTGGGGCTACTTGGTTATGCTGTTATTAGTCTTTACTAAAGTTGGGAATAGAATAATGACACTGCCCATGGGGATCTTTTTTCAGTATTAGTCCAAGAAATTTCTTTAAGATATATTGTCTCACTTGAAGTTCTGGTTCCCTTTGAGCAAACATCATTCCTCCATTAAGTCTCTGAATTCTTGATTATTTAACAGGTGTAAGTGCCGGCTGGCACACAGTCTCCTGAGGCACGGACCCTGCCTTCAGGGAGCGTGTAGCTTCCTACTTCTCGTTTATCTTTAAGGCTATTCATTCTGAACTTTAAAAAAGTATTTGTGCATTCGTACCACCACTTAATTAATCTATTTCTGGAATCAGCACTCTCCCTCTTTCTGTTAATTCTAAAGCGTTTGATAGAGTTTAACTATGACCTATAGGGAGGGTGTTTGAAAGGGAAACGGGAATTTCTCGAAGTGTGATTTACACCTGACATGAGTGCTCCAGGAATTATTCCGGCCACTAAAATCTAAAAGAAGAAACAACAAATACAACGCACTATCGTATAAATTCTCCTTTCTAAAAGTGTAAATGGTAAAATATGAATGAAATACTGACTCTTGGTCAGTATCCATTTAATTTTTAAACTTAGCGGCTAAATGATATGACTGAGTTTCTATCTAGGTCTTTAAAACAAGAGCAGATTGGCTCGGCCGGTGTAGCTCAGTGGTTGCGCGTCGACCCATGCACCAAGAAGTCGCCAGTTTGATTCCCGGTCAGGGCACAGGCCCAGGTTGTGGGCCCGATCCCTAGTGGGGGGCATGCAGGAGGCAGCCAATTGATGTTCTCTCTCATCAATGTTTCTAGCTCTCTCTACCTCTCTCTCTAAAATCAATAAAGGAAAAAATAATAAAACAAGAACAGATTGAACTCTCAAGGAGTGAACAATATGCACAGACCCTTTGATCCAGAAGGGGGCGCAGCTAGTTCTTCATCTCTGGTTCCCTTGGTCTTTGGAGGGAAAGGAGTCCCCTGGGGTGGGCAGTTGGGGGCAGCTCTCAGCTAATGGCACCTGCCTCTTCAGACACTTGGGGCTTCTCCTGTCCTTCTCTAGCCTAGGGAAGCCCAAATGTGTCCTCACGCTCATTCCCCTTCTTAGCAGGTCACTGGGTCTCTGATTCCCTCCTCTCGCCAGCCTCTTCCCTCCTTAGTTCTGAGTTCCCATCTCTAACCACCGGGGCTTCCCCTGCAGGACCAGAAGGGCTTCTGGTGGGTGAGAACACCTGCCCTCAGCCAAGCCGCCCGGCACCTCCCACTCGCAAATTAGTCGCCCCCTCCTTTTGCCCTTCCGTTCCTTTCTCCCACAGCACCCTGCTTTTTCATCCTCATACTTGACACACAGGAACATGTCATACCCACTTGTGAGCTTTGTTTAGTTCCTGCCTCCCCCATTTAAGCAGACACCACAGGAGAGTGCCGATCCGTGGGACCGTCGCGTGTGCTCAGCCACGCGAGATGCTACGCACCGTCTGCAAACACCAGCGGACGCTCCTTTTGGATGTGCTGGGTTACATCCTTAAACTAGACAATGTGTTGGTTACACGCCATTGTTTTCCGTCAAACTAACCCCCCCTCCCAAAGAATATTTTTCTTCTGTAATATGCAGCACTGTAAAATCCTAGCTTCATTGTAAAGAATTGTTCTAGATTTCGGTCCTTGTCACTCTGAATGAAAACCAGAGGGCTGTGCAGGCCCCGCGTGTTGGTCCCAATGGAAGATGGCAATGCTTTAAAAAAAAATTTTTTTATTGCTTTCTCGAAACAGAAGTTTTCACTCTGCATTTGAGCTGCCTGCAGTTCTCCTGACACAGAGGAGAAAGAAAAGCTTGCAAACTGGTCAGTCCAGTTAAGGCACTTAAGTGGGTGAAGCCTTTGATATGAGTTGAACCACGTTAGGCAGTTACTATGGCTGGAGGGCTTTCAAGGATTGTTCACTACTTTTCTTTTTTTTTCAAAAACAGTTAAGTCTGTTCACTGATTTGGGGACTGTAGATGGTGTCTTTGGAATGGTGCAGCTTGGAAGAGGTGAGCGTGCTGTTCAGGTCTCCCCGTCTGTAAAGGGAGGGGGTGCTGGCCTGCCCTCAGCATCCCCTCCACTCTGAGTTTCTTTAACTTAACTTATTCAACCAATGCTGATAGGCTAATAAATACTGATTGGCTGCTAATGTGTGGCGCACACCAGAGATGCTGACCAGCTCCTGCCATTGGAGAGCGCAACTGAAATTGTACGACAGAGGTGCCGGGAGAAGGTTGCATTTTGTTCGTTTCCTTCACTGGAGATAGACGAATGCAGATAGTCTGTGGCCTGAGATCATTTGGAAGTGGGGAGGATAGTTTGCATCAGAGTCGTGAGGACAGCCTCCCGAGGAAGGAGGAGGTCTTTAAGCTGAGGCACAAGCCATGAGCACCAGAGAGCCAAGCCAGTCTGAGGGAGAAGACTGCGGGGAAGGAAGCCTGTGCAGACTCCCTTAAACGTTGTAGGGGAGGAAAAGTCGTTTTCTCTTTATCCTTTATTGACCTAAACATAAAAAGCCACAGCAAAAGGCCCCAGGCATTTATTTAAGATCACAGCATTGCAACCCCAGGGCACAGACTCAGGCAGAAACCCAAGTTGTGTGCAGGGTGAGGGCAAAGGGCTTGGCGAGACGCGGAAAGAAAGGAAAGAACTTTCCATTGCTGCTAACGAGCTGAGTTGCGCTTTAGCCATACATGCTGATTACTGATTCTATCTTCAGAGAGCCCGCAATCACGGCCCTGGCGGTCAGGGCGTCTGCTTTCCTGTTAGTGTTACAAACAATTGTGTCATGGAAGACAAGGTTGTTTCGGCTCAGGGCAAAGGTTATGTTGTCCACGGCAAACTTTCCAGAGGTTCAAGACCTGTGCACGGTTCCTCTGGAATGACCCTGGCACTGGTCTGCCAACTTTTCACACCTTCTGAGTTCTTGGCTGAGCTACGCCTGCAATAAAACAGACTTCAGGTGGTGACCCGGGCCATTTCCAGGAGTCACTCAGTTTTCCTGGGTATGTCTCGTGCATACACGAGGTGTACATGTTATTAAATACGTTTTTCTCCTGTTAATGTTTTTTATGATAGGGGCATTCTCAGCCAAGAGCCTGGAAGGATAGAGGGACAGTTCTTTTTCCTTTCCCGCAGGGGCAATGTTAGCTTTCCCACTTACTGGCTTAGCCTCGGTCTCCTCATCTGTACCGTGGGGGTGATGAGAGTTGCAACTGCTCACGTGAAACGTTGCGTGCACACATTTAGCACAGTGCCTGCAGGCAGGAAGTAGCCAATAAACAGTTGCTGAAAATCAACACCTAAGACAGGCACACCTGGAATCGTTAATGTTTTCTTTGTGTTTGGCTTTTTAGTCAGGTCTAATAAGGACACAAAAAAATGAATTCCTCATCTCGCCATTACCTCAGCTACTAGCCCAGGAGCACAACTACAGCTCACCTGCAGGCCACCATCCTCATGTACTGTACAAAAGGACTGCCGAGGAGACGGTCCAGCGTTACCATGGCTACCCGGGCTCCAGCCAGAATCATCCTGGTCAGACCCCAGCTCACGCTCCCCACACGTATTGGAGTCAAGGAAGAGAGCATCCCCATCAAAGGTTGCAGAAGCAGCATTTTTGTGGACGACGCAAGAAATGTATGTAAGGAAACTTTTTCTTGTCCTGTTCTTATGTGGGCCCTCGATAGGTTTTTTTGAGTGCCATTGCGGGGGCTGGCTTTGCTGATTAACATGGGGCTACACTGAGCACCCCCAGAAATTAGTCTTGGAGATGGACCAGACATGACCCTGTCAGGCAAATACTAGGTGATCAGGTCTCAATTTTTCTTAGATAAACTAGGGAAGATTTTTTATATGCTTTTTTTGTTGTTCTTTTAGCATCTCCTACATTTTAGTCACAGGTTCCAATATTATCTCTGCGCTTATGAGAAAATACCCAGTCTTCCAATAACTAAAGAAATCACAGTGAATCCTCAGGTGTGGTTGGGTGTTTCTTCTGAGGATTTAAAGGAAAAACTTCCCAGGAAATAAGAGCACTGGACCTGAGTGCAGGTGGCAGTGAATTAGCTGGACCCTCGGGCATGTTTATGGACCCAGGCACAGCCTTCTGCATTTTCTAGACTAGCTGTGTCCAGGAGAAATACAGTGCCAGCCCCAAATGTATTTTAAATGTTCTAATAGTCATATTTTTAAAAAATGTTAAATAGTGAAATTAATTTTAATGATATAGATTTAATAATATATTTTATTTAACCCAGTATATACAGAATATCATGTTAACATGTCATCATTGTAACAAATTATTATTTTTTATATTAAGTTTTGGAAATCTAGTGTTTATTTGGTACTTAGAGCACAGATTCAATGGATGTGATAAAGTCATCAGAAACACTTAATCTGTGCCTAGATTTTATGAAATTTAAAGTTCAAGTAGATTTACATATTCAAGTTGTTCCAAACACATGTAAGTGTTTAAATAATTTCATCAAGTATTGCTTTTTAAATATAAATGTAAATTAAATTTAAAATTAACTTTGTTGTCACCAACCACATTTCAAAGGCTCGGTAGCCACAAGTGGCAAGTGAATTAGACAGGCGACCAGGTGATGGTCCCAGCCCTGGCGAAGGGGGTTCTGTCACTGAGGTGTTGATTGGGTGCAATAATGAACCATTTTCATTGGTTTTTGCACTTGGAGTGTTATTGAAATATTCTCTTTTAGAGACATCTACTTGGCATGGATCTTTGGGAATGGTAGTATTAGTAATTGTGATGATATTCACAGGAAGTAATATACGAAGTGTTATCATGAATGCAGATGCAAAGAATGATATCTATTTCTGCAGGGATTTTTTAGCAATAAAATAAAATAAACATTTTCTGTTTTTAAAGACTATTCTCACAAAATTGATTTTTCTTGATGCACTAGAAGTGTAGCTTTTCTTTTATTTGCTAGAATGTTTTGAGTTATTAAATCCTTCTATCCATCCACCCAACCATCGCCTGTCCACCCACCCATCCACCCACCCATTCACCCACCCATCCACCTACCCACCCATCCACCCACCTACCTACCCATCCACCCACCTACCTACCCATCCATCCACCCACCCACCCATCCATCCACCCACCACCCATCCACCCCTTCTTCTATTCATCCATCTACACTGCTATTGGGTGAATCTTTCTTGAGCTCAGACGAGGTGCAGAGCCCCAGGACAGGCACTGATGGCATCACTTATCAGTAGATCAGTGACATGTTGCTTACCTCGCCCTTCTCCTCCCCCTGCTTAGATTTCTGTCTCACCCAAATGTTCTGTACTGAAATCCCTCCCAAATGCTCTTACGTTCACTGTAGATGCCCCCAAGCCTCCCACAGAGGACACCTATCTCAGGTTTGATGAATACGGGAGCACAGGGCGGCCAAGAAGATCAGCTGGGAAGTCACAGAAGGGCCTCAACGTGGAAACCCTCGTGGTGGCAGACAAGAAGATGGTGGAGAAGCATGGCAAAGCGAACGTCACCACGTACATTCTCACGGTCATGAACATGGTAAGGGGGCTGTCGGGACGTCAGCCCTCTGGCTCTCCAAAGCAACTCGAAAGCATAGACTTCCCTTCTGAGGGTTGAATAGAAGATGTAGCCATGCCATTTTATTGGGGGAGGGAATCGAGTTTTGAAGAACTTGGCTTCATGGGACATATATTTGGTAAAATTAAAGGCTTTGTATATATAAATATTTCTCGTTGGTTCCCCCCCTCCCCAGTTTTGGAAATTTTTGAATTTTGTTCATTTTGTTTTTGACTTCAATTATTCCAACAGGTCTCCAGCCTATTTAAAGATGGGACCATTGGAAGTGATATAAACATTGTTGTGGTGAGCCTCATTCTTCTGGAGCAGGAACAGGTAAGTGGCAAACTTCATGTATTTCCTCCTTCAGGATACACTTATGAAACCCCTACCATGTGCCAGTCATGTACTTACCGGTCACTAGAAATTCAAACTTAAAAATATGCTGACTCTACCCTCAAGGAAAGTACAATCTAATAGGGTTGTGTATTCAAATCACTAAAACATCACAAAATAAGTATTTATATATGTGTATATAATATATGTGCATACAAATAATGATGCAACGTATAATTAAATATGCCTGTATAATATAAATACAAATTTTACATTATATACAAACTTATAAATATTATGTAGACTTTATAAGGAAGGTGTCTTTGGTAAAAGATATAAGGGTTAATTGGATTTTACAAGTTGGATAGACTGGATAATAGCAAGTATATGCAAAAGGGTATTTTGAAAATGGCAACTGGAAATTCTTGAAGTAAACCTGCTGTCTCCCCAGCATCACCTTGGGTACTGTCCAGAATAAAAAAGGACTATTTAACCACCCTGAATTGATGACAGTGAGGTACAAGACAAAGGCCCGGGTAAATCATATAATAAAATGTTAAATTGTACAACAGTCACTGCTTTGTAGTGTTTTGATGCTAAACTATATTTTTCTGAGCTGGTTATTACCCATTAAACAGACTATTTTTGAAGTTCCCTGTGGCTTTCTATCTTTATTGCCCCAATAAGGAATGTATAAAGCAGGAAGTCAGAGACAAGACGGAAAGTAATCTAATTGCCCAGGTGTATAGAGCTACAGAGGTTGACAACTTGTCAAATGATTCTTGGAATTATAGGAAGTTAGAAAGGGTGTGTGTCATTGGACACCTTTTTCTAACCCACCACTTGCACTTTGCTCAAGGACATTGAAGCCAGCGGCATCCTAATTCACTCATAATGGAAGATCTCTAAAAACCCTCAACTGGACTCGTCAATAATTTTAAACAAACATTTTGGTAAATCGTTCTTTTAAGGGTAGGTTCTACCATACCCTTTAGAATCTTACAACTCTGTGTTTTTTCATCCACTCAGTGAAATTTCATTTGATTGATTTGTTGGTTGATTGACTGACTGACTGTAACCTATGATTCGCCAAACCCTTTGCTAGAAATTTTGACGTGGGGTAACTAGGCTATACTCACTACCTTACTCACTCTCTATTGAAGAGGCATTGACCTTTATCACCATTAGTTGATGACTGTCTTCTAAAAGCTATGATAATTTTGTAAAAACGGTACCAGCAAGAGATGAACAAGGATGTTCCTAACCAATGTCAGGTTACTTGCTGTAGAAATATGATTGGTCATAAACTACACGACTGAAACTCTATAGTTACTTTAAATATTGGGAGCATTTACCTGAAATCATTTTTAGGTTTTTCTTCTTCTTTTTTTAACCAGTTGTAACCAACCTTAGCTCAAGTGTTTTCCTCTACTGACCTTTCTCCTTGGAAACATGCTGTTTCTGTGTGTGCCTGTAGAATGGAATGATTCAGCGTTCTCATCTCTGTGCAAATTCACACTCTGATTTGTGTGGGTCTCCCTAGGGAGGGTTATTGATCAACCATCACGCAGACCAGTCTTTGAACAGTTTTTGCCAGTGGCAGTCTGCCCTCGTCGGAAAGAATGGCAAAAGGCACGACCACGCCATCTTACTCACGGGATTTGATATTTGCTCCTGGAAGAACGAACCCTGTGACACTTTAGGTACGGTATAAACACGCTTCACGCACACAGTGTGGAATCTTTCTCCTGGGTGGATGGCCCTTATGCCCCTTAATAAGGAGACCTACTGTTTAAATAGCGGTGTCCCCTCACGGTTCCCTTATTCTGTTTAACTAAAGTCAGCGTGGAATGGGGAGCCCGCTTACTTTATTCCTTTCTGTAATTTTCTTTTTAACTCGATTGATGCCCATCGAGGCACGGGATACATTATTTAACTAGACAAGCTGTGGTTTATTCTGTAAGCATCATGACTGAAGAGAATTTGATTGATTTCTATGGTACTTCTCTGTGGACATACTCCTTGGTAGCAGTATCTCCTTTAGAAAGTTACTTGAATTTTGAAGGACTCAGCTTTTCTATATTTGTACAAGACAGTGAGTAAGCACTAAATCTTCTATTATAAATATATTTTCTAGTGTAGTCCACTGCATATAGTAGGAATTCAACAGTTTTTTAAAAAGGAAGTGGTGGTCATCTAGATCAGTATTGATGGGGATGGTTCACCCATGATACGTGTCTATACATTAGGTTCCCAGAGATCTCACATCATGACTGCAAGGTGGGTGCGGTCAGTTCCCAAGTGTGTATTTAATGTTAACTGGGTACATAGCCTTGTTCTACTGGTAATGAGGACTCAAAACTGGGAAGAAAGTCATTTACTACTCTCACGTAGTTCAAGATACAGTCAAGGATTGGCTGGAATGCTTTTATAACTGCTCTTGAAAGGAAATAGTTTTTGGAAACAGGAATATTTATCACATTTTAGTGAACAGGAGAAAAGTGAATTTAATCTATTCACATTGTTTGGGCATTTTCATGTTATATGCTTTAGAAATAGACCAGAATGTGTGTCCTGTTAGAAAAATAAATCTTGAGCTTTGATGCTAATACTACTCGCGGGAACCGAACCCGGGTCTCTCTGGACCGCAGGCCGACGCTCCAACCGCTGAGCCATACCGGCCAGGGCGCTAATGCTACTCTTAAGTGAACATTTTGCATTGGTTCAGCTATAATTGCAGCAGCTTCTCTGGCCCAAATACTAAACAGAGAAAAGGCATGTAAATGTTCTATGGCTTAGTATCCTATATGTAAAATGAGAATTACAGTAATCAGATTTCACAAGGAGGATCAATTGATGCTAATATCTTAAGAAGAGAGAAAATATTGAATACGGCTTTTATCTATGCAGACAAGAAAGAGGGCATATGCTTTAGTGTTTTCCTGCCCTGCCCCTCCCCCCATTCATGAATCCATTAAACTAAAACTGCAGAACATTTGGAGGACATAGGAAATGATGAGGTGTCTGTGTGCATTCCCTCTGGACTAACAGTTGAAATGGCTCTTTCGTTAGGGTTTGCCCCCATCAGTGGAATGTGCAGTAAATACCGAAGTTGTACCATCAATGAGGACACAGGGCTCGGCCTGGCCTTCACCATCGCTCATGAGTCAGGGCACAAGTAAGTGACTATATGAAAACTGGTTGGGTGAGTCATTGACATTCTTCTGAAGATTACTATTGATCTCGGTAGGATCATTAGGGTAAATCTTCTGTGAAGCTTAGAATTGTGCCTGACTATAAGAAGGGCTTAATAAAGGTCATTGTTGACACTGCTGTGTTTAAACAGCGACATTTAGGAACCACACAGCATTACGTTGCACAGAAAAGGACTGCCGGCTATCTAATGGAGCCTCTGGTAACATAGGCATTTGTTTATTTTCTGCCATGTTTTGCTGAAGATACTTTTCGTTTATTATGCTAAGGAAATAATCATGGAGACATGTAAATTCCCAGAAACTAATGGCTTGTTAATTGTTTAAAAACTTCTGATGCATATTCTAGATATTCTTTTATTTGGCGTCAGTGCATGCACTTAATATTCTTTTACTTGCTATCAGTAAATCTTTTGTGAGAATATAGTTAGAAATGAGGAATCAGAAACCTAAGAGCAATGAGATGAATGCATTTTACGAGGCGTATAATCTGCTGTGGATACAATTCTACAGCGGATTTTCAAACATTATTTGAGCAACAGCATCTTCATTGGAAGAAGCATGCTGCTTTGCACCATGACTATTCAAGGCACGCTCTTTGGATGTATGACTTCAGGATTGTTTGTGTGTGTGTGCCTTGTATTCAGCATTTATAGTGACTGCTCATTTCAGAGCATCCAGTTAATTTCTGACTTAAAAATAAAAGCAAATGTCATCTATCCCACAACTGTGATTCTTATTTGATATTTTGGTGTTAGTGCCTCATGAGCTAAGTTGATTAGGAAATTTGAATCTTGACCATTGCTGTTATCTAACAGTTTCCCAGAATTTCATGTATATGCACAACTGCTTTCTTGGCAAGATATGAATGAACCAATCTTACTGTGAATGATGGGGATGCAAAAATGTCCATTAGGCACAAGACCCCTTTATACAGAGCAGGAAATACAATATCTATGAAGGTCAAACATATGTCTAAACTTGCTTCTTCAGCATGAAGTCCCAATTAACAAATCTTTCACTTGGCTATTAAAAACTTGACTTAGTCTTGGTTGTGAGTTAAAGTTAATAGAATTGAAATGCAACATTTTAGCAAGGAAAAACAAAGGCATCCTCCAGGTGGGGTGGGGAGAGAATGGTCCGAATTAGAAGAAAGCACAGATATAAAATAAAATATTCATGCTTGTGTTCTAAATGAAGTAGCCTTATAGAAGTAAATTTTGAAATGGACATTTCATGAGATTTTGATATGACTTTTGACATGTACTAAGGAAAATGTGTATTCTTTTCTAAAGAGCTGTTACAATAAATTAGAAAAATTAGCATTTTTAAGTTCAAAATTCAGTTCAAACTTGGTTTTATTATGTTCCTGAAACCCCAGTGAAATGCTAATTTAATTACCATGTGTTCCTTGAGTAAAGGCTTTAATCTCTCCTCACCCTATTCCTACCCATCTGATTCTTCATATATACATTTCCTTCTGTTTTTGACTTTCACGAATACATTTAGAAGGGGTGTCTCCAAACTAACCACCTTAGATTCCTGGTTCGGTATAAAGAATAATTGAATTGGGCAAAGCTGAAGAAGAGAAAATGCTTTCCCTGAGTATATGTTGAAGCTAATAAATACCTATTTGTGAATCTGTCACCTCAAAATAGCTGGGACATTTGCTGATACTGTAATGGTATATAGCCACCTGGTATTACCAACCTGATAAATTGAGAGTAATGTTAGGAAAATGGCTAGTTTTAGACACGAGTCATCGTAGAATACTATCTGTGGTTATATCATCATGATTAATTTACATTATGTTAAAATATATTATTTGATATAAGCTACTTCAAAGGCTAATAACATTAATGAGATTACATCAGCCTGGCTGGTGTGGCTCAGTGGTTGAGCGTCGACCCAAGCACCAAGAGGTTACTGGTCCAGTTCCCAGGCAGGGCACAGCCCTGTGTTTCAGGCTTGATCCCCAGTAGGGGGCGTGCAGGAGGCAGCCGATTGATGTCTCTCATTGATATTTCTCTCTCTCTAAAAATCAATAAAAACATTAAAATAAAAGATTATATCAGAATAACATGTTTATTTCCACAAGAATCATATCTGCCTCATAAAAATATGTTCTTCAGGGGGAAAATTATGCTCCTTTAAATAACTAGGTTAAGAACAATCTAGAAGAACCACAAAAAGCTTTTTTGTATACTGAACTTTTAGAGATGACCAAAGACGGTTATTCTATCCTCTACCTCTTTATCATGGCCTGAAATAAGTCTATGGTGTGTGTATCACATGTGGGTATATGCATTACTGTCACACTCTCCCAGTCAGGAGATTTGGGAACAATTTAGATGTAATGTATATGATTTCTGGGGAGGAAACCACCTAAAATTACTTTTACTCTGTAATTGCTGGAACTTTCTGTGGTAAAATGGGACAAATCAAAGTTTTCTCATAAAATGCGTTCAAAAGAAGTCCTTTTTATGCCTTCATAGATGGATTCAACCACTATTTTTTTTCAGTCCTCATTCAAGGACATTTTTTAAAAATTTATCTTCAGGTAGAGTGGGAGGGAGGGAGGGAGAAAGAGAAACATTGATGTGAGAGAGACACATCAACTGGTTGTGACCCGACCGGGGCCAGGGACAAACTGCAACTGAGGTACATGCCCTTGACCGGAATTGAACCCGGGACTCTCTGGTCCTCGGGTCGATGCTCTAACCACTGAGCAAAACTGGCCAGGGCCAACCACTAATGTTTAAAGATGTTTGATTTATGGGAGTTTAATCACGATTAGAGTGTGTGATGTCAGTTAATAAATAGATCTCCGTTAGAAGTTTGTAAGGGACACTCGCTTTGTGCGTCAACAGTCCTCATCTTACCATCAGCTTCTCTCTGTACCTACCTCTCCTCGCTCTGAACTTCCCTACCACAGTTCCATGATTGATGGCAAGAAAACATTTTTGCCATTTGAAAAAAAAAAAAAAAAGAATTTGACTCTCTTATCACTTCAGTTTAGCTGAAAAATCTCAACCCAAATTTTCTCACTCTCAAAATATGTAGCAGGCATACCCTTCTCTGGTTTCCGTGGCCGGGACGTCCTCTAACCAAGCTGTCAGTGTGCTTGAAAACGTTCTCCCTGAATTCCGCAGCACTCGATGCCCCAGTTCACTGTCGTCTCTTCGTTTTCTTACGCTCTGGAGAGCTGTCTCTCACGTGGCTTGGTTGGTGCCTCGGGCATCCTCTTCTGCCTCTGGTTATGACCAGAGAAGGGGGTTGCTCACAGAGCCTTTGCTGCTTTGCTGTTGTGCTTCAGCTTCGGCATGATTCACGATGGAGAAGGCAACCCCTGCAGGAAGGCGGAAGGCAACATCATGTCTCCCACACTGACCGGAAACAACGGGGTCTTTTCGTGGTCTTCGTGCAGCCGGCAGTATCTCAAGAAATTCCTCAGGTAAGACAGGCCAAAGCCAAGGCTGCGCCTAGGTTTGGAGGGGTGGTGCCAATGAACAGTGTTCGAGAGGTGTGAAAACAGTCTTCAGTGGACGTGTCTCCTGACCTCCCAGTGAACAGAAAGGCTGACAAATCCTGATGATGATGATGATGATGATGATGATGATGATGATAAGAGCTGTCATTGTTGAAAAAACAGAATAAAGGCCTAACACTGTGCTGTGCACTCTCCGCATGATGCCTCGTTCAATCCTCACAGCAGTCCTATCATTTCCTCATTCCAGAGGGGAGGAGATGGAGGCCTAGAGAGAGTACTGGGTTGCTTAAGGTTCTGCTGCTGGTAAGCTGCCCACATTGAGACTCACACTTAGGTCTGTTATGACTCCAAGGTCTGTGCTTATCACTGTTTTCCCTTTATGACCTCCAGAGATTGCTAGATATATTGGCTTTGTACTGTGATTAATCACTGTAATCTTATTAATCCATTTGGTTGTAAAAGTATTTTTTTAAAAAATTCTAAAATGGTGTACATGATTTTAATGAATGGAGACTGTCTCGACAGGCTATTTTGTTTGGAATGACCAAGAGCTAGCTCTCTGTTCAAAAGATATTTAAAGGGATGATAGCTATATAGCATCTATTTGATGACTAAGCTCTCCTAGATTACATTAATAAAATGGAATTAGAAAGGTAGCACACTACTTGATTCATATTAAATGATGCACGCACAGTTGAAACTCTTTGAAGGACCCTTTCACTTTATTTAGCTATAATATATATTTGACTATTTGACCATTGTAACAGTACTGACTATGCTGTGTTACAAGCTATCCATGTTCTTGTTTGATCGGTATAACAACTTTTATGGGAGTCACTGTCAGAAATGAGATTTAAGAGATGTAAGAGTGGCATGGTTGACCAGAACCCCCATCTGTCTGACACCAAAGTCATACTTAACCACCATGCTGTTTTGCCTCTCACTGGTAAAATAATTTAATTAAGTCATTGGAGATAAAGTGTTTTCTAAGAATATCTATGCCATCAAGACTGATTTTTTTTCCTCAGCTCTTTCCATTGAGGCATGCCTCAGGGAAATTGTTCTGCCTTATGCCCCCATGTGTCCTTTCTCCTGATTTCTTTCAAAAACCTGATTCCTTTTTTTACTCTTAAAGATCAATGGAGTTCAAGGACATCTTTGACGACTGCCCCATTATCTGTAAAAAATATAGCATGACTTTCAACTCCATGAAGACAGGCACTGTCTCTGTGTCTGGTTTACGCTGTACCCTTAGTGCTTGGTCAAATGCTGCCCACAGAGTAGGCACTCAATAAAAATCCCTTGATGATGATTGCACACGACTGTTGGGGAAAGTTCCCAAATATATTGACCTTTCCCATCTCTTAGCAGGCCAAGCCAGGTCACTTGGATGGCTATAACTTCCAGTGTCATGTGAAACCCTTTATGGCTGTATACATTTTGTCTTCTTTGGCATGAATAAAACTCACTATTTGGAATGATATACATTTTAACTTAAACTTATACCTATTTCTTTAGCCACGTTATATTTTTCTATGCATGAATGCATTCAGAAGTGTATAACTTTAAGTGCAGGTCACAGATAGACAAGGTCATTAATAAGGATGTGTTATTACTGCAGTACACCTCAGGCTGGGTGTCTGGTGGATGAGCCCAAGCAAACAGGACAGTATAAATATCCGGACAAACTACCAGGACAGATTTATGATGCTGACACGCAGTGCAAGTGGCAATTTGGAGCAAAAGCCAAGTTATGCAGCCTTGGTTTTGTGAAGGTATGTTTGCTGGTGATTGGGAACTTACATTAAGATCCTGCAGTGTGTCTGTGTACCTAACCGAAGTATAAACATTTAGTTTGCTAAGGCCAAGGGTTAGAGTCTGGGTTATCTTGAAAATGTCAGTTGTTTGGCATGATAATTAAGTGGCAATTTTGCCGTCAATGAATTATCCAGTGTTATCCCCCATAGACCATGCCTGGTTTTAATACTATCTGACTGCGTCCTTGAAAGAACATTCCTTTGCTGTAGACAAAGATTTTTATCACAAGTAGTAAATCTGGGTACAATAGCTTTTACTTACTGCTCATCTTTTTTAGTATCATTATGTTTATATTCCCTTTCAATGTGATATATTTGAAATAATTGCTACTCAAAATACATACATGTGCCTTTCATGTTCTAAAAAACTCTTGATGGCAACCAACTTTTTGTGACACGTAAGAATTCAAGGTACATCTTGAGCAATGTTAAGATGTGTTTGTCAGTATTGTGAGAAAGGTAGATGGGGAAAAGCAAAAGTTGAAGATGTAGAAATGGGAGAGACATTGTTCCAGGTCATCACAAACTGTATCACTGACAATCTCAAAGTCACTAAAAGGTAGATTCATCTTGCCCGGCGGGTATGGCTCACTGCTTGAGCACTGACCCATGCACCAAGAGGTCGCTGGTTCAGTTCCTGGTCAGGGCACATGCCCAGGTTGTGGGCCCAGTCCCCAGTGGGGGACATGTAGGCCAATCGATGTTCTAGCTCATCGACGTTTCTATCTTTCTCTCTCTCTCCCCCTCTTTCTCTCTCTCTAAAATCAATAAAGTGAAAAAATATTAAAAAGTAGATTCATTTTTAATTTGGTTTATTCCTAGTACCCAAAGAGAAATGTGGAAATCCTAGGTCTGGATGCAAATTATGGAGTTTTATAATTCACTTTCCTTCCTCTGTTCTTACTCTTCTTCCTATTTCTCTTTTCTTCTGTCTCTTCCTCTTTCTCCACCTACCATCCACCACCACCACCACTCTTACTGTCACCATCATCATCACCATCATTACCACCGGCCCCACCTCCACCGCCATTACCACCGGCCCCACCTCCACTGCCATTACCACCGGCCCCACTTCCACCACCATTACCACCGGCCCCACCTCCACCACCATTACCACCGGCCCCACCTCCACCACCATTACCACCGGCCCCACCTCCACCACCATTACCACCGGCCCCACCTCCACCACCATCATCAGCATCATTACCAACAGCATCACCATCATTGCCAACAGCACCGCCACCACCCACCACTGCCACCACTTCCTCACCATTCACCACCAGCCACCATCAACTGCAGCAGTTGCTAAGTGAGCCTCTGCTCCACATGAGGCATCTACTTACACTCCTTTTATTTTTCTTCAGTCTTCACAAAAACCTTTAAAGGGAGAATTGTCACCACTTTTTACCTGCAACTCACAGAATGTATTTAATTTACTAAAAGCCACAAAACTTATAAATGGTGGAACCGAAACAAATCGCATCACCCACACTTTGATGTTCAGCTTCCTTCTCTTCATAGTTAATACCAGTATTTCCTAAACTTTAAGTACTAATGTTAACATCCAGTCATTAACAATTACCTTCATTAGTTGTATTGTATCATTTTTGTATTTTTCACTTGTTGTTTTTCTATAACTCCGCTCACTTAAAAAAATGTTAAGTTCAGTCCCAGGAAATAATAACTATTAAATCAAAGTTTGATATGGGATCACATATTTTTCTAATACAATTTAAATGAATAACTATTATAAAAGTTTGCACATAAACCCCCCACAATTTTTGGTGTGTCCTCCGTGGTACATGGACCTATATGAAATGTATAAATTAATACATTTATAAGTATTTCAAATTGCCTATTAAGTTGATGCATTTGACTGAGGTAAGTAGCCATTTACTTTGTTGAAAATGTTTGTTAATTTTGTCTCCTGGTCATTTTATTCTTAAAGGATTCACTAGCTTATTCCTTAATCAAATATTTATAAAGCACTTACTATGCAGTAAATGCACCGTTGGTAACGAGTTAGATTCTCTTTAGAAATATAAAGGACGTTTCTGAAATTGCTATCAGTCCTTCAGGATCATACATTCAGCAAACATTTGTGGGGTGCCTGTTCTGTGTCAGACACTGAGCAGGGCTCAAACAACCGTTCTTAAATTACAGATCTTTTTATCTGAAAACACACCATCTTTTTCAAAGACCGCATCTCAGTGTGATGGTCTTCCCTGAGAGGCAGAGGAAAGGAAAGGAAATTCCAGACCAAAGGACTGAATGGAACAAGTAAAGGCTCAGAGATAGGAATGCCTGGTGGGGTGGAGAGATCTGACTAAGAGAGGTCATTGAGAAGGACTATGAGGTAAGGCAGAGAAGGTAGGGTTGGTAGGTGGATACTGAATGTGGAATATTGTGCCAACCTTATGGTAATATTCCCACACTGCTTGCAACTTGAAGCATGGCTGCATCTGTGAGGATCAGAAATCGGTGCCTGCCAGGCCCTGTGGAGGAGGGCTTTCAGAACAACCACCTCCTGTTCGCTGGGTCTCGGCAGATCGGACCAGCGCCAGCAGCGCAAGAAAGGGCTGATGTTTCTGTTCGGGTCTTCATCGTCCTATCATTATGTTCCCTTTCTGGCCTTTTCTCCTCGCTGCAGTTTTTTTCCTATACCTCCTAGAAAGGCAGTTTTGCATACTCTTTAGAAGCAACAAATATAGGGGGAAAAAGGGATACTTTTCCAAGTGTCCTCTCAAACCAGCAGAGGCAGTATATCAGTGTCACCTAGAACTTGGTAGAAATGCAAATGCCCAGGTCGCCCAGGCCTGGAGAATAACAAACTGGGGTAGGGCCTGGCGACCTGTGTTTGAACAGGGGCTCCAAGGGATTCTGATGGCTGCTCAGGGTGGGGAGCTACTGAATTAGACAGTCATAAACTTGAAACACACACCACCACCACCACCACCACCACCACCACCACCACCACCCCCACCACCACCACCCCCCCGCTGTTGGAGTTAGATAGACTTGAGTTTACAGCCTTATTGCACCACTCCCCAGAACCCTGGGCAAGTGACTTCACTTCTCTCAGCTTTCCTGTCCACATTTGTAAAGTGAGGATAATAATTCTTCCCTGGCCATTGTGAGGATTAATCTCTTGGTATAGTTTCACTAGTATATAAATAACGAGGGTGTTCCTCTTGCTCTCTTCCTTAGATCTCCAGTAGCATCATCACCACCACGTCCGGCTGTTTTTTTCATAGTGGCTTCCTTGTCAAAGGGCCTGGGGCTGGCTGTCTTCATCACTTGTCCTGTCTTCCTGCCTCTCCCAGCCTCGTATCAAGCTGTATATCTGTTCCCTCTCAACGCGTAGAGGAAAATGAGTGAATCTGGCAAATGGTTGCACATTTTTTGGACAGACCTAATGGAGGGAGAGCTTGCACTTGATAATCACATACTTAATTAAATGCTTACTGACTCAGCAAGCGAATCAGTACTTTTGGCTAGAATGCTCCATGCTAAAACACTGACCGATGCTTCCGTTCTGGTTATTTTACTGTTAGAAATGATCAGCCCAGACTCTGAACCTCAGTAACCAGCACAGTTACTGCCACATGGCAGGAGCTTGGTACACGTTCATTGTGAGACACACCAAGAAGGTTTGAAGCAGAGTAGGAATGATGGAGAAGGTATTTGGAGTCTCCTGAATATTTTCAGGCCCATCCCTTTGGAGAGCATTCCCTTTGAAGGAAAAGGCATGGCAAATAAAATAGGGTGGGCATGTATTCCTTCTTCCAAGGATTTAGCATTGACATCAGAGAATGAATGGAGAGTCGAGAGGAACTCCAAATATCTAAATCACACCTACTTGGTAATCTACGCCATTGACTACGTCACATTTCAACTTCCATTCACTTTCCCATGGACTTATGTTCCAACTGTATTGATGTCTGGCGTGTTTTTCAAACATTTCCTGCTCTCATATCTATAAGCCTTTGCACATATGTTCTCCGTCCTAGAAAGCTGCACGGTCATCCATATGACAAGTACCTCATCATTTCTGATTGTCGTTAAAGATTCAGCTCAAGTGTTCCTTCTTTATTTCCCCATGGAGATGTAGACATTCCTTTCTCGGGGCTCCTTCTCCACCCTGCCTGTCACCGTCATAACCTTGTGATGCTGTGTTATAACGGTCCATGCAGCCCTCTCGCCCCAGCAGACAGAGGACCCGCAATGCCTACCATGCACCTACCATATTAGCAAATGCTCAGGGGTTATTTATTGGATTCTCAGTGATAACCAACGAAAACAATGTTTAGCACTCTCAGTTTCACAAAGGGGAGGTTTGTGCCTCTGTCCCCTTCCCATCTCTCCTCCAGGAAGCAGGAGCGACTTACCTGGGAGGAAGAGAGGAGTCAAAGATGAGTCTGGGACCTATTGACTGAGCAACTAGCAGCATGGGGGTGTCATGAAGTGAGCTGGGAAAGGCTGAACGTGGAGCACAGATGGGGGGTTATGTTTTGGATGTGTTAAGTTTGAGATGCTTTATACAACTCGATTTGCAAGGACCATTAACATTTTGAGCGTGTCAGGTTTTACCTGAAGGGACATCTGTCCCTGGGAATACAACTGGAGAACACGGCCGAGGAGTGACGGGGCAGACGGCCGTGAGACGCTTCCCCCAAATCACATCCAGGCAGCAGGCGATCTCGAGGTCTCTGTGGTTACTTCTTTTTCCCTTAAATGATGGCTTAAGTCTAGGGAATTATAGATAAGGAAAAGCTAGTCGAAGACGCTGGGGAAAAAAAAAAAAGGCAAGAATGAGCAAAAAAGTGCAAACTCTTAATTCTGCCTCTTTGAAAGGGAGCCCCCTCAGAGGCGCTCATGGTCAGCAGAGCACGCCGCCGGCTGTAATTACGTCCGACTTCTGTGCTCCACCGCAGAAGAAATAACACGTTCGTGCAGCCGGCCTGCTTTCTCTCTGGCATCCCTGGGTTTTCATGCGTTGCTTTCCTTTCCTGGTCTTCTCCAGCTGCCCCCTTCCCCTTGGCCCTGTGGCTTGGCACTGGCTGTGGAATCGGGGCCTCTTGGCTTCGGTCTGTCTGCCCTCGGGTCATTTCGGGGGCTGCCACATCGGCGACGGGTGTGAGGGTGTGCGCTCCAGCTTCCCCTGGCCGGGAGAAGGAAAACAGCTGTAGGCCGGGAGCCTTTCTCACTGTGGCTTCTTTCACTGTTTCGGCGGTTGCATCCCATCCTTCCGTTTTGGTGCAGGCTGTTCTTTGCCCGCGTTGACCTGTCCCCCCAGACCCAGGTGACAGTGTGGCGGCACAGAGGCGAGGAGCCTGACTTACGTTGCTGGAAGCTGCCGTATGCTTTCTCCTGTCGGGGCAGGTCCATTTCCATGGGCAACACTTACATATCGTGTCTTCCGAGCTGTTTGGAGGTCTGGAAGTGTGGCGCATGTCTAGGGCTGTTGGTGGCCGTGGTGAGTCCAAGCAGTGTCCGTCCTGAAGAGTCTGCCAGTCTCTTGGCGGGAGGGGGGCGGGGGGGACTGTATGGTCTACAAAGGCAGACTCACTGCACGGATCTCTGATTTCCCTGCGTTTCCTTCGTCCTCTGGAAAACATTGTGTGTGTGAAATATTTCTAAGCATGCTCTTGCTCTACTTTCTAACCATGAAATCTGTATTAACTGGAATGCTGGGGGAATCGGGTGCCTGGTTAATTGAATTTTCAGGAGTAGAACAAGTGACCACAGAAAATCATTGTGTTTCTAACCTGGCTGTTCACATGTTCCCCACAATGTGTGTGTTCACACTCCTACCTTAGTAAATAGAACACAGCACACAAGACGGGATGGCTGTGCCGGTCCGTGATTGGTGACAGTCCATCAGCAATGTGATTCTGAAGGGCAGCGACAACTGCGTGAGCAGGAAGGACTCTGCTTGAGCCCCTGACTTTATAGACAAGCAGGCGAGGCCTGGAGAGGTGGAAAGCTCTCTCACTGATGGAAAATCCCAGTGGTCAAGGAATCAGGCCAATTGGGGTCCCGCCCTCGCCACTCACCAGCTGTAGCTTTCTCAGATTCCTCACCAGGTGAGTTTGCACATGGGGCCCGTTTAGTGTCCACCATGAATGGCTTTAGCAGCAGAGTTGGTGTCCTATGCTGCTGCAGTACATTCCCACAATCCCAGTGAGTTAAAACGACACACGCTCATTTTCTTACTGACCTGGAGGCGGGTGTCTGGCATGACTCTCACTGGGCTAAGATCAGGTGTTGGCAGGGTTGTGTTTCTTCTGGATGCTGTAGAAGAAAAGCCATTTTCTTGCCGCCTCTAGCTTCTAGAGGCCGCCTGCGTTCCCTGGCTCCTGGCCCCTTCCTCCATCTTCAAAGCCAGCAGCGTCTCCAAGTCTTCCTCCCCGTCAACTCCTTGTTCTCTTCTGTCTTCTTCTTCCCCATTTACGGACCCTTGTGATTCCCTTGGGCCCTTCTGGGAAATTGAAGATAGTCTCTTCATCTCTAGGTCAACTGATTAGCAACCTTAATTCTGTCTGTAACCGAATTCTTCTTTGCTCTGCAGCCTCCCATGTTCAGTTCCCAGGGGTTAGGAGGACGTGGCCGTGGGGGAGGCGGCATGATTCTGCCCTCTCCAGTCGAGCACGGGAGTGCAGTTCCTTCATAGTCTAGCGTGAGAATTAAATGGTCTAAATGCTTGAACATTACTATAAAGAGAAGGTAATGGAAGGGATCCTTTACATCATTTATCCTTGAGAAGAACCCTACAGGGGCAAGGGCTGATTTTACCACTGCTTTGCAGAGGAAGGAACTGATTTCACACACATGCAGAATTGGGTGAACAAACTGAGTTAACAAGGAGAAGAGAGACAGACTCGTGAACAGAGAGCAGGCTGACTGCAATGATTGAGGAGGGTGTTGGAGGTTGAGCAAAAAAGGAAAGAGAGAGAACTCATGGTCAGGCATGGTGATTGTGGTGGGGAGATGGGGAGATGGAGTTGAAAGAGGGTAGAGGAGGAATAGTGATGGAGAAAGAAAGAAGAAAGAAAGAAGAAAGAGAGAAACTAAGGAAGGAAGGGAGGGAGGAAGGAAGGAAGGAATGAAGGAAGGAAAATTAGGAAAGAAAGAAAAAAATTAGGAAAGAAAGAAAAATATTAGGAAAGAGAGAAAATAAAGGGGAAAACATATTTTTAAAGGCCTTCTATAACACGCCCATAGGGCGGGCAACCTGGAATCTGAGGACAAGGATTTGAGTCAGGCTGTATTCCAGTCTTGGCCTATCCTGCTTCAGTGGTTGTTATGTTGTTGTTTTTAGAAACCAGACATCTTAGCTCCAAGCCCAGGGGTCTCTAAATTCACTATTGATACCTCCCAGTCATGCCTAGACACACATGAATATGCAGGTAGTGTAGAAACTCATTGGTTAGAACATACTATTGGTTACCTTGCTGCTACCAACTCCACTCGCCTCCATTTCCTGGCTAATGTCTCATTCCGGCCACCTCGGAATATAATATGTGTACAAACGCTCTGGCTGTGTTTGTTCTTACTGTACATCACCCTTACCAGTTCCTTCTTTCCTTTCAGGACATTTGCAAGTCACTTTGGTGCCATCGAGTGGGCCACAGGTGTGAGACCAAGTTCATGCCTGCAGCGGAAGGGACCGTTTGTGGCTTGAGTATGGTAAACTGCATACTTGTTAGTTTTAAGTTCTAGAAGCGGGATGAAGCATAGGCCCAAATTCTCTGCTGCGCCCTCAGAATGGAAGGCCTTGGCTGCATGTATTTTCTGAATTCTCTCTAAATGAACCAGCATTACCTGGCCCTGTTAGAAAACTCAATGCTAACAGAGCCCCGTTGGCTGAATTGTTCACGAAGATTGTGTTTCGTTTTTTTGCTTTTGCCTTTACTTTCCATTTTTTGATGGAAGTTTGGGTCAAAATATTTCTCTTTTCAATGAGCTGGTAGGTTTCATTGTATGCTGTTTGCCTTTTAAATTTGATTTGGCATAGAAAGGCCTCGGGGAGCAGATGGCACTTTGAATAGCAAAGAAAAGATGGTCTCTCCATATAAGGCCTCTATTAATCACCTCACAGGACCCACTGTAGCGCCCAGTAGAGTCCCATCATATACAGTGACTCCTGTCAAAGGGTAACCCGCATCTCCATCTGTGTTGTACCAGAAAGTCTCTTTGCTAGCCAATGTCTTCAACCCTAAGAACCACTTTTACTGGGGAAGACCGTGGGAGATTTTTGTGTTTTGAATGAAGAACTCTCACATATTAGTTTCTGTTTCTCTTCCCCTGTCCCAGTAGAATCTGGAGGGAAAGGTGCACTTGGAGTGTAGGAAGCGATCCGGATTTGGGGCGTTCCTCTGAAAGACCGAGCTAAGAGCGACAAGTGATGTTCCAGGGTTTTTGATCCCTGCACTAGGCTCTCTCGAGGCAGCACACGCCTGCCTGGAGGAATCGGTCACTGAAAGTGAATTCATTTCCGCAGTAATTTCCTTTCTACTAGATATCAGAGAGAGAACACTCTGGGGATACACAGATGAATAGCACTCAGCTTTATCTCTTCAAGCTCTCACAGTCGAGTGGGGAAACCAATAATTCCAACGTTCCTTAGAAACACGCCTTCTTCAAGCACAGAATCAAAGCCCTGATGAATGAGAAATGCATCTGGCTCTGGCATCTGGGACTGGGTGTGCACTTTGAATGAACTACAGTGAGGGGTGCACCAAGGCGATGTTGGAATCGGAATTGAAGTTCTTCCATCGGATGAGAGACTTTTAGTAACAGAGTAACAGTAAAGGCAAGGATGGACACATAAGAAAACAAATGTGTCCAAAAATGCCTGCTGATATCTGTTAAGTCATTTATTTAGCATCTCAAAATATTTGCAATTTTCAACTCTCTTTTACTTTAAAGGAACATTCTCAAAGTTGAGTCATTGCATGAATTTTTTTTTTTTTATTGATTTTAGAGAGAGAGAGGAAGGGAGAGGGAGAGAGAGATAGAAACATCAATGAGAGAGAACATCAATTGGCTACTTCCTGCGTGCCCCCACTGGGGATCGAGCCCACAAACTGGGCATGTGCCCTGACCGGGAATCGAACCAGCCACCTCTTGGTGCATGGGTTGATGCTCAACTACTGAGCCACTATGTCTGGGCTGCATGCAATTTTTAATCAGATGCATGTGCAATAAGTATTCTCATTGAAACCGTGCACAGGAGTGTTTTAGTTGCGATGACACAGAACAGAATTAATTGAATGATTGAAAATATAGGTACTGTTCAAGTCATTTGTATTGTTAAAGCAAAATTTATATCTTGCTACTTTAATTAATAGGTATTTTTGTCATTAAGAAAACGATAGTATTAAACATATGAGAAAAAGATAGATATAATAGCATATTGTACCTGAGGTCTAAGGTTTCTTACATAAATACACCTGGGATCTAGTTCCAGGGGGACAAGAATGCTCCTGATTTAAACTTTAGCTATTATAACATGACACGCATCAAGCTGGGTTAGAAAATAGATGTCCTAATACCACTTTCTGCACCCCATTATTTTAAAAGGCCACACTATGGCTATATATATGAGGGGGTGGGGCTTAATTACAAGGCCACCCTCAATAGAAAGCATTCTGATAAGTTTCATCTATCATCTATCCAGTGTAATTATTCCTCCTTTATATAGATGCATCTCTGAGTCTCCCTCCACTAGGGGGATGTAACTGGCTATTTATTAGATTGTAAACTCCACGAGGCCAGGGCCATGTCTTAGTCATGCTTTGTCTCAAGGGTCTTGCAGAGTGGCAGCTACTCCGTGTTTTGTTTATTTCTCCATAACTGGAATCCAACTGAATCCTCCATCTTTTTCCATCCGCCCATCCCCATCCTGCAGGGATAGCTGTACCATGACTGTTCAGTAAATGTGTAAGCATGTGAAGGGCACATCCTTTTATCTAGATTGTGTGCAAGGAAAGAAAAGTTTGTGCTTGCTGTCTATCATTAAAGACACTTGCCCAAGTCATGGCCATTCAATTTGAAATTAGAAGCAGTGCTAGAAATAAATCTGTATGAATAGAGACAGTTATATATGTGTCTATTTTATATTTACATGTTACAGGTAGACTTTTATACATACATGTGAATTGTGAATGTATGGGTGTATATTCCTATATGTTCCTGATTCCTATACTAATTGAAAGACCCAGAGGAGACTGTCAATACTAGGGTGAATACCAGAATAAAAGAAAGTGAAAATAATTCGAAGGGTTGGAACAGAGCTAAAAACCTCATTCTTGAAAAAGAAATTAGATCAGAGTTCAGATACCTTGTGGGCAATTTGCCACTGATGTGAGAAGTCTGTGTGTCCTATTTAGGACTTTTAGCTGCTAAGTTTAAATCCAGCCTCAGTTAGTTGTGTAGCTACTTAGGTAGATGTGTGACTCTGGGCAAGTTAGTTTGTATCTCTTTGCTACAGTTCTCTCATCCAGAAAATAGTTATTAACCCCTAAGCCCTTCCTGAAGACTACATTAGACACTGTTTGTGAAGTCCTCCCTCTTAGCCCTGCCTGCACCATTTGGGACACATAGAAACAATTTAATACACTGTTGCTGCTGCTGTTACTATGTCTCAGCCACTGAGCTCTGTCCTGGAGAGGTGCAGGGACTCTTGGTAGGGAAGGTTCAGATTCATGCTTATGGTAGACAAAATCCTCAAATGACCGACTGCTTCCCCACCCCTCAAAGTCCTCAACAATGTTTTATGATTTTGGGCAAACTCTGAAATGGCAATCCAAGGCAAAGAAAAATTCTAAACAGAAGAATTAATCCGCTCATGGCAAGAATGTGAAGACAGGAAGCAATATCTTGACCTAGACAAAATGCACTAGCAACACAATAAACAGCACAAACCAAATGTATTATGAGGGAGAGAGAAGCTCTGAAAGTCAAACCTCCCTGTAATTCTGTAACCGAACCCCCACTCCTCCGCAGGCCCTGGCGCGGTCCAAACCCCAGCCCTTTGGATCTGATTGCAGAAGCTTTCAGAAAAGGGTGCAGTTACGCTAAGTCATGCAGAACTTGCTCGTAGTAAAAGCACCACAGGAAAGAAACCGCTAGCAGAGGCTAATGCAACCCCCAAGGACAGCGATGACCAGCAATGCCTGGAATGCATTACACAGGAAAACGAAAAGGGTAGCACAGAAAACCGTTCTCGCCCTGAGCCGATCCTTGACAAACAGAAGACCCAAAGCTCCTTCGTACAAGACACTCGGAGTTCCCAGTTATCCATCTGAGGGCCTCACATCGGGACCTTTTATACACACAAAAGGGTGTTATCTAGCAGCACAGTGTGCGTAGGCTGAAAGCTATTCAGTGTTGTAAGACGTGCTCTATAGGTGGAATGAAAAACATATATGTAGAGTTGTATCTGTTTTTATGATGAGATAACCATCCAGAATGGTGAATTCTGTTACTATCTTAAAGACTGGTTCTCCTTGAGTGCATGATCCAAATTGCTGGCTAAACGTCCAGGGAGGTTCTGTTGTCCCTTTTCTGCTCTGGCTCCCTCGGCTGCTGGGTGGGATCTCGTCTGAACGATTCCCTCCACAGCTCAGAAAGCACCTGTGGGTGACAGACGCCCTGCTCGCTGGGTGTCCGCTTTGCATCAGTCCACGCACAGGGGAAAGAGACAGCGGTGTGAGCCGTGCGGCCGCGAAGGCATGGGGCCGGGCGCCGCCTTCCCCGCTCACACACTCGCTTTTCCTGTTCACCTGCCGGTGTTTGCATCTCCTTGCCCTTTCCCGGTGGCTTCTGACAGGAAACATGTCCCGTATTCTTTCCACAGTGGTGTCGGCAAGGCCAGTGTGTGAAGTTCGGGGAGCTGGGGCCCCGGCCCATCCACGGCCAGTGGTCCGCCTGGTCCAAGTGGTCGGAGTGTTCCCGAACCTGTGGTGGAGGAGTCCGCTACCAGGAGAGACACTGCAACAACCCCAAGTAAGGTCCCGCGAGAAGTCAGTGTTTGTAAGGCATTGACCTACCGCCGGCAACATACGGGTTCTGTTTTGTTTTGTTTTTTAATTTTTTTTCCCCTTTATTGATTTTAGAAAGAGAAGAAGTGAGAGGGAGAGAGAGATGGAAACATCGATGAGCGAGAACATCAACTGGCCGCCTCCTGCATGCCCCTCACTGGGGATCAGGCCCACAACCTGGGCATGTGCCCTGACTGGGAATCGAACCTGTGACCTTTTGGTGCATGGGTCGATGCTCAACCACTGAGCCACACCTGCCGGACTACAGGGCACTTTTCTTCTCCCCAGTTCATAGTAATCATCCAAGGCTTTACTGCTGCACAGGAGGGTTGTGTGCCCGGGGGGGAGGCTTGGTGGGCAGAGACAGGGAAACGGCAAAGGAGCTATTTCACGTGTGAATATGATGCTTAAGGCTCCAGTGATGGTAGGAAGGGTCTGAGCTACAGAGTCACCCAGCCAACCGCCTGTGCTACTGTGGAGCAGAGGGGCGTGGCTGTTGGAGCGTCTCTCTCTGGGACTCAGGAACTGGAGAAAGTATGCTGATTTTCGCCTTGCGGGAATGGACATCCACGCGTGTTGACAGATCTGCCTGACTTTTCAAGAGAAACCAGAAATCTAAAAAGAAATGTGTATGAAATTTCCTAATTTCTAAAATATTGACAACAAATTCAATTTCTTAAAAAAAAAAAAAAAATACCATATTAATAGAAACATCTGTGGATTGAAATTGGCCCCTGATCACCTGTGGGCACCCTCTGGTCTAGAGCTGGGCCGTGTAAAGAAGGTGGTTTAACGTTACCGTTTTTGGCTCCAATAACACGCCTGTTTCCCGACTGGCATGGTTATGTAGAAAGAACCCAGGTTCAGGAGACAGACAGATAGGACTCCAAACATTTGGCTCGTCACTTATTCACTGTGTGGCTTTGCGAAGGTCACATGCACTTTGAGCTTGGGTTTATGTATATAGAATAGAAACAATAATCCTCACCTCTGAAGGTCTGGGGAGGGATAAAAATGCATCTGTAGAATGTCGGCCACACTGAGGAGCGTCCAGTGGGCATTCCACAGAGGTTCATGTGGTTTTCGTCATTTCATCTTAAACTGCTAGGAACATAGGGTGACAAAGGGCCAGCCCTCAGAAGCAGCGGGGAGACCCCAGGCTGATGGAACTGGACTTTGGAGGATGCTGTGGAGGGAGGAAAGTGTGATGGAATGTTGAACGACGGGGTTGATTTTACACGATGTGAGTGGGGGATAGCAGACGGCGTCCTCCCCCACTCTAGGTTCCTTGTTTGTAAAATGGGATAAAGATAGTACCTTCAGCAACTGAACTCATATTTGTACAGTACTTTTCTAAAAGTGCCTGGTAGGCCCTGGCCGGTTTGGCTCAGCGGTTAGAGTGTCGGCCCCCAGACCAGAGAGTCCCGGGTTCGGTTCCCGCTAAGGGCACGTACCTTGGTTGCAGTTTGTCTCCGGCCCTGTTTGGGGTCATGTGCGTGGCAGCCACTCGGTGTGTCTCTCTCACATCGATGTTTCTCTCTCTCTTTCTCCCTCCCACACACTAAATGCAAAAAAAAAAGTCCTCAGGTGAGGATAATAAATAAATAAATAAAAGTGCCTGGTAGGTTGTAAATATTGTGCAAATGTTTGGTAGATTGAGAACTAAAGAAGGAAACAAAAGTCCAAGCACATTTTGAAAGAGACAAATGGTACTTCATGTGAGCGAGCAGGAGGCGGCCGAGCTGGATCCAAAGGCCCGTTTGTTCCACGATACGAGGGAGGATCGGGAGACACAGTGACCGCCGGCGGTGTACCAGGCACCTGGGATCCTTCAGGCTAATGTAGGAGTTCGCAACTCCGGCGCTGTTGACATTTAATTTTAATTTTTTATTTATTGATTTGAGAGAGAGAGAGAAACATTGATTTATTGTTCCACTTATTTATGCATTCATTGGTTGAGTCTCATATGTGCCCTAACCAGGGGTCGCACCCACCACCTTGGCATATCGAGACAAGTCTTTAACAACGGCCAGGGCACTACTGACATTTTAAGTTTGATGTGGGGGTTGGTTTTGTACATGGCAGGATGTTTGGCAGCATCTCTGGCCTCTACCCACCAGATGCCAGTAAGATGACTTTCCCTGCCCCCATCCCACTCCCTAGCCTCCAAGTTGTGACAACCAAAAATGTCTCCAGACCCTGCCAAATGTCCCGTAGGGGCAGAGTCATCCCCAGTGGAGACTGACTGCTCTAATCAGACCCAGCAACTATGTATCGTGGTAGCGAGCATTGTGATACATGTACAGTTTATATCAGATTATTAAAACCACCCTTGTCTACTTTGAACATAGCCTGTGTCTTGGATAGAATTGTTAGAATTCATTATATTTTCATTTTTGCAACATATTTCATGGGTCTGGTTTTCATACATCACAACATTTTACGATCTCGATATTTTCCCGAGAAAGAAGTAGATTGCCTAACTTAATAGCCCTGCTGGTAAAGTGGTGGATGGCGCCCCTGAGGTTTCGGGGAAAACCTCTCCCATATCTGAGGGATGGAGAGCTCCCATCATAATGGGGCATTGTTCGTGGAAATCTGTTGTGATTTTAGAGATGCCTAATAGAAGAATTAATCACTAAAGTAGTTCCACTTGGTGCAGTTTTCATTTTAAACAAGATTAAGTCTACCCAGGGTACTGTTTGCTTTAATTAAGTTCGAAGTCACAAATAAAGCAAGTGATCGGCTATCCCAAGGCAATTGAGTTGGTGGTTCTCTGTTCTTATTTCCCTCTGTTGTCATACAGCTGCTTTTCTCTCCCGATTTCCAGTTGCTGATGTCTTCCTTCCTTCAGCTTAAACACGGTCTGTTCGCATCACTAAGCCTAGCCATTGCCTTTTTTTTCCATGGGAAAGCAGTGTGAGCTTTTTATTTCACATGATGATGGTTTTCCCAGAGCATATTTTTGTTTCATAAAAGATGAATTATTCCTGGCCGATTCATAGGTGTATATCAAGCTTTTCAGCTTCACGAGCGTGTACAGGTTGTCTGGTCCTGGGACGGCCAGGACCAGGTACACATGGCCCTTTTCATTTCTCCCACATCTGCGGGCCTGTTTTCTGTGAACCCCCGGAACCTCCTTCAAACACTTCTCCGGGCATTTGCTCCCAATCTGGTTACCACAGATACACGAGTTGCAATGTCTCATCTAATCCAGTTGTTTTCGAAGTGGGTAACAGGGTGGCAGAGGGTCCCAGTCACTGTGCCGGTTCTCACCCACGTCACCAACTGGTCCTGTTAGAGTCAGACCTCAAAAGCCCACAGTCTTACTCCTTTGACATTTTTCCTGGATCCCTGACTATTAAATTATTACACTTAAGGGAGCCTAGTAAAATTTCTATCCACTCTTTTTAAGAAAACAGTGAAATTAAAACTAAAAATTAAACATGCGGAGGCATTATGGAACTGTCCCAAAATGTGAGTCTGAGAAAGGAGATTATGCCACTAGGGCCATAGCTCCGGAATAATAGAAGCAAATCTCTGGCTATTTTTCCAACCAGTAACTTCCAGGCTCAGGTGATTATCAGAATCACTAAGTGTGTTTTTAAAAAAATTAATATCTGGATCGTCCTATCAAACATTCTTATGGAGAATGTCTAGGGAGGAGCCCGGGAGTGTGTATGTGTATTTAGCAGAGTTCCCCAAGTGGTTTTAATATCAGCCAGCTGGCCCATATTATACCCATTTACAGGGAGGACCTGAGCAATTATGCAGAAGCAAATTATGAGCATACTTGGTAATAATCTAATATAAACACAAAATCATGTGCCTGGACATTTGTTTTCTGAATGTTTATATTTTTGTTGTTAATCTTAAAGAACTTATTATACCAAGGGATGCCAGAGTAGAATTTTCTGTTAATGTATCCTGATGCTCATGCTCATAGCTGCAGAAAATGTACCTGTATTTGAAATTTGATGGAAAAGTCCAAATTCTTGCCAGTCATTAAAAGTAGAAAGCATTTTAAACTGGTTATGTTTGATTTGTGCTAACTGGGCCCTAGACTCTGCCCTAAATTCTTTCCAAATGTTATCTCAGTTCATTGTCACAACTGCACCCACTTTACAGATTAGCATGAAATTGCCTCAAGATAAGCCTGGAAGAGGCAGAGAATCTTAAAATCCGGACCTGCCTTGTTAGAAAAGGCTAGCTCCCCGACCATTGTACTTACTTTCCTCCTCTTCCTTGCCCGGGTCCTGTTGCCTAACCGTGCGTGCAGACAGAGTGGAGTACACACAGAACCCTGGGGAGTCTGGAGAAAAGAGGTTTAGCTCTGCTCTCTACCAGCCCTGTGATCTTTGTGTGAGTTTTGTGAGCTGTGTCAGACATTTGTCCCTGCATCTATCCAACAAGGAGATGACTATGAGTTTTGAGGTCTTTTCCATGTTATAGTTTCTGAGTTAAAAAAGTAACCCATGTGCTGCCCTGCCCATGTGGCTCAGTGGTTGAGCGTTGACCCATGCACCAAGAGGTCGCCAGTTTAATTCCCAGTCAGGGCACATGCCCAGGTTGTGGGCCTGATCCCCAGTGGGGCTCATGCAGGAGGCAGCCAATCAGTGTTTTCTCTCATCGATGTTTCTCTCTCTCTCTCTCATTCTCCCTTCCTCTCTCTCTAAAATCAATGAAGAAGAAGAAGAAAAAAGTAACCCGTGTGGTCCTCTTTCACCTTATTGCATTTAAATCATCTAAATGAAGGTTATTTGTAAAATCTCAGACAGAGAGTCTTACACCGAGAAAGTCTGATGTATGCTTTGTAAAGATGACCAGCGATAGGAAGGCTGTCAGATTGCACTTGCAAGTTTTTCTAAATGCTTTTTAGATAATGATTTAAGAAGTCCTCGGGGATTTGCTCTAGCACAATGACAGCTGCATGTTTAAGTAGTTACTCCAGAATGTTTTGAAATAGCAGAAAAATCTCACTCTGGCAGCATGACACTTCCCGTTTCTGTTGAATCCATTCTAGCACGCAGTTATAGGAGGATTTGGTAAAATATGCTGAAGCAAATCCAGGGGTGTTTTATAGCATTCTTGTGCTTCCTAAAGAGACAAGGAATTTTAATCACATACATTTATTAACCTGGAGTCTCCTTTCATGTTACATGTTTGCATTGAGCTTTGGTGTGCGATGATCCATCGTTGGGTTTTAGCCTTTGGAGAAAACTACCAGGAAAAAAAAAAAAAAAAAGTGGAAATGAAAAGAAGCATTTGCTTTGTGCCCAGACTAAGCTGGATAAGATGCTACTGGTGATTTTCAGTGTGGTTTGCGCTCCTTTTTTTGTTATTTTGCTTTCTGGTTTTTGTGGCCTGCCTACCAAGATCTTAAAGAGTTTGCCATTAGATGCTAATTATTTATGTTCTAATGGGATTCCCTACTCTTGAAATTCATTTCCCATTGTGCTTGGCAGGAACAGAGTAGGCCACCTGCAAAGTTAAAAAGTGATTGTGCAGATGCAAACAGGGGAATGTTTTGTCTTGGAGTTTAGGAACAATTAGAATAAAATGCACAGTCAGACAGTAATCAAAGTATCAGCTCCGTGGCTGACAAAGCTGGATTGGAAACCGTGGCAGTTGGGGCTTTCTGCTCTTTCTCCCCTTGCCCTGGATTTCTGCACAGCAGCAGGTGCAGGGCGACCTGTGGGAAGCTGATGAGTGTTGAGAAGTGGAGAGAAGCCCTGGGCAGATTTGGCTCAGTAGTTAGAGAGCTGGCCTGCGGACCAAAGAGTCACGGGTTTGATTCTGGTCAAGGGCACGTACCTTGGTTGTGCTTCTGTCCGGCCCTGGTCAGGGTCGTGCTCCCCCCCCCGCCAAAAAAAAAACAAAACAAAAACAAAGAAGTGGGAAGAGAAGCCAGAGAATCGTTTGGGTTCTCATTTGGAGAGCTTCAACGCCAACATGAGGGCATGTGTGTTTGCGTGTGCAGCACACATCTACATCAACAAGAACATTGAGGTGCGTTTGCAGATTTCCTAACACATAAGGTGATGGCACGAATGTCAGGAATATGCTTTCCTCAGTCTTGAAGGAAATTGCCAGAATATAAAAATTGGATCAGAGATGACAAATAAGTTTGCATCTAACCTGCCAATTCCAATCGACGAGCTGTGGTAGTGGCTGCCGGAGGGCTGTGCTGAGAGGGATTTTGAGGGCATATCAGGCTTTGGCAAATATAAGACACACACATGCGCGTGTGCACACACGCACACACACACACACACACAGATTGATGAGTTATGTCTGCTGGATGAAGAAGGGCCGTGACAAGTTGTGTGCTACATCCTTCCATGCTCACAATAGACCACATACACTGTGAGCGCTCCTCCAGATCGTCCCTCCATATACTGTGCCCTGTGAGTAATGTGAGTCCTTTGACCGCTAGCACTAAAGTTCTTTCGTTTTGTTTTCAGGCCTCAGTATGGTGGCAAGTTCTGTCCAGGCTCTAGCCGCATTTACCAGCTGTGCAACATTAACCCTTGCAATGAAAATAGCTTGGATTTTCGAGCCCAGCAGTGTGCAGAATATAACAGCAAGCCTTTCCGTGGATGGTTCTACCAGTGGAAACCCTATACGAAAGTGGAAGGTAATTTGGTCTCCGTGCCCCTCAAATAAATGTCTCTACGTGGTCAGTAAAATGAGTGAACATCACAGAAGAAATTGCTGCTTATATAAAAGAGTTTCAATTTTTATCTTTTTTTTCCCAGACCTGTCCTCACGCATTTTTTCATTTGGTTCCGTAGGTTTTGTTTATTTTTCCACACTTCTTTTTCACAGGACACCCCTTGTGTCCCACTTCTGTAAGCCAAAGTATTCATGTGTTTGGAATGCACTTATATTTCTAAACTTACCTTTGACATTTCAGCAGTGAAGTCTCCCAGGGATGTTAATTGAAATTGGTATGAATTATCCAGACCAAAAACTCATGAAACCATATATGCCCCATAGAGACACCATACTCAGTAACTGACATGTTAGATGATTACAAGCAGAGTATGTACACACACACACACTAATAAAAATGTCTCCATACAAGGTTCTTAGTACTCACCCTAACTTAAAGCAATAGCTTGTATTTTACTTTTTAAAAAATGTATCTTTATTGTTGAAAGTATGACAGATGTCCCTCCTTTTCTCACGCATGGACCCTCCTCCCTGCTCCCATCCCCACCTCCACCTTCACCACACTGTTGTCTGTGTCCACTGTGCAATTTACTTTTACATTACTATTTTTTAAATTTTGGGTAAGCATCAAAACATTCACTTTAGTTATAATATGCAAATTTAATGTGCGTTCTATCACCTGTGCAGAAGAAGCTGCCATCATTCTAGTTGTTTCCTTTTCATTATTTCCATCACCTGATTTATCAGAACTCATTCATGCTCCCTTGAAAATTGAAAAATGGGAATCTCAGCCACACATGTGTAAAATGGAAAGAGACTGACTTTAATGACAATTCATGGCAAGTAAGCCTGAGGGAAGTTCCTGTGCAAAAATTCATAATGAGCCTCAATGATCAATTCCCACAATGCAGCTCATGGAATTAGAGACCTCGTTATAACAAGGAACACCTCCAAAGCTAAAACCATGATGGTGCAACTTCGCTCAGCGCCAGACCAGCCAGGGTAGAAGCATTGATCTGTTTCTGGGTCATGAGTATCCAAAACACTCATGAAGACAGACATGGAAATTCTGAAATCTGTGTCTTAGGAGGAAGCAATGAGGAATCTATATAGCTATATCCTGTAGGGAAAAAAAAAAAAATCATTACCTTCAAAAATTCAGAGTTATTGAATAGAAAGGGATTTGGATTTATTTGAAGTTGTTTCAATGAATAGAATTAATTCAGGGGCTAAGAACTTTCTAGCCACATAAGAGACCCTACTTGCTGGCCTGTCCAAATCCTTCCTTTGTGTCATTCTTTGAACCCTAATCTGCTTTATTCTACATAGCTCTTACCAGTGCCTGAGTTTATATTATGTAGTCATTTATTTACTACTTCTCCCTCCAAACGCAAGAATTTAGGTTCTACAGGGATGAAAACTTTGTCCATTATGAGTATGCTTGTCTCTCAATCATCTGAGAATAGCACTTAGTATATATGTATAACTTTTGGAATGAATGAATAGATAAATGTCAACTATCCATAATAGAAGTGTGTCCCTGTATGAGTTGGAAGCTCTCCATCACAAGAGAATCGAGTAATTACCTACAAAGGATGCTGTGCAACAGGGTCAGTGGACAACTCGATAGAATTGCTACAGTTGCTTTCAATTCTGACATTTGAAGATTTATTTTCTCATGGTTGTATTCTCCCATAATTCCATGTTTCTTATCTGTAGTTCTTTCTCTAAGACTCTGTTGTCCTTCCTTTCATTTCCTCCTCTGCTCTTTGCTTTGTCTTCTTGGATATTCCTTGGCCTTTCCCACATTACATCTTTTGTTCAAATATGGTGTTTATGGAATTGGTTCATAGATTCAAATCATTCTTTAAATAGGCTCCATCTTGAATCCATCAGGAGGAAGTGAAGCAAATGAGCTTTGTAACGTGTAAGATTCTTTTGGTTTCAAAGTTCTTTCACTGGTTTTACTGGAGTTTTTAGTAAGTAGGGAGCATGCCATTTAATTCAGTCACTCAACAGATGTTTGCTGAGCATGTACTGCACGGCGACAGCCTGCCCGATGGAGAGGAGACTACACTGAGTAGAACAGAGACCCCAGCCTTGGGAGCTCAAATCCTAGTGGACAGAAAAGTGAAGTCCTTGTCCTTCCTTCTTCTCCTTTTATGCTTTCTTAGAATCAGAAAAGGCTGACCGTGATTTCAAAGTCCTGTGACTTTCTTGCTGTTTGGGAAAAACATGGGATGACATTCATAAATGTAGACCATCTTTGTCTTATAGTAGTGAGCTTTTTCCTTCCTTCTGTGTTTCTAATGGACTAATTTACGACTTGCTCAGGAACCTGTGTTGGGAAAATGGAACTTTCTAGAACTTGTTAATTCTAGCTCCCCAATCTCATATGGAGAAATTAGTATGTGTTATATAAAACTGCTATTTAAAAAAAAAAAAAAAATTCTAGGTGGGAGAAACAAAGTTAATGCATCCACACATCTGCATATTTGGAACATAATAATTGGACTTCTTTTTCATTTTTGGCTCTGCCCTTTATTGAGAGGTTTTATGAAGCACAACTGTCTGCAAACTATTGACATAATTGTTGTAACACTGTTGTCAGGGATATCAGTGTTGCCTGCTTCAGGTCTCGTGAGAAATGTCATCTGGAATTCCTGGCCTGGAAAAATTCTTTCTATCAGAGAAATTAGCGTGAAAACTTCTTTCTGATAACAAGAGCTCTATAAGTAAAATACTTTTTTCTTTTTGCCTTTGATACCAGAAACCTCAGAAACTTAATGGTCAGTAAAAGTCACATTATTTTTTAGCCTTTAGGTTTAGTTTATTTGCTTTCTCTTCTTTTTCAAGATATGATCCTTCTCTGTACGTTTTATGAACGTTATCAACCATATGCTTTTTCTCAGAAATGCCTAAATTATTTTCTCTTAATTGATTGAATAAATATCTAAAGTAAGCCATGTCCTAAAGCACAAGTCAGCAAATTATGGCCCATGGGCCAAATCTGACCTGCTTTTTAAAAAAACATAACGTTTTATTGGTGAAGGACAAATACCATATGATTTCACTTATAGGTAGAGTCTAAAGAACAAAATAAATGAACAAATACAACAGAAACAGACTCGCAAATACAGAGAACAGACTGATGGTTACTAGAGGGGAGGGTGTTGGGGACTGGATGAAAAAGGTGAAGAAGTACAAATGGGTAGTTACAAAATAGTCCCAGGGATGTAAAGTTCAGCATAGGGAATATAGTCAATACTATTGTAATGATTGTGTATGCTGCCTGGTAGATACCCGAATTATCAGGGGGATCACTTTGTAAATTATATAAATGTTTACTCTTCAGTATACCTGAAGTTAATATGAAATAATACTGAATGTCAACCGTAATTTAAAATTAAAGTTTTATTGGAACTTTAAGCATGTCTTCATTTATATATTGTTACTGGCAGACCGTAGGGCCTGTGAAACCTCAGATATTTGCTTTGCAAGGAGAGTACACACAACCCACGTGTGTGCCATGTTTACTAAGGATTCGAGAAGTAAATTCTTATACACTAATGTTAAAGCAATTTTATATGGATTACTTAATGGCATTTATATATTTAAAATTTTTTTTCTTCATTTTAGAGAGAGAGGAAGGGAGAGAAAGAGAGAGATAGAAACATCGATGAGAGAGAACATCGATTGGCTGCCTCCTGCGTGCCCCCCACTGGGAATTTGGCCCACAACCTGGTCATGTGCCCTGACCGGGAATCGAACCGGCGACCTCCTGGTGCATGGGTCGACACTCAAGCACTGAGCCACACTGGCCAGGCGGCATTTATATTTTTAAAAGCCACATACATAAGCACACAGGCACCAACATATGCGCATGTGCACGCTCACACACGCACACCGGTAAGTAACATTTTCCATTTTGCTGATGCTAGCATTCTCAATCAACTAATTCATCCTTTGGAGGGCATGTCATTTTCCTGTGATTTCCTCTTGACCATGTTCTATCTTGATCTGTTTGCTTCTAGAGGAAGATCGATGTAGACTGTACTGCAAGGCTGAGAACTTTGAGTTTTTTTTCGCAATGTCCAGCAAGGTGAAAGACGGAACTCCTTGCTCCCCAAACAAAAATGATGTTTGTATTGATGGGATTTGTGAAGTAAGAGAACCTTTCTGCTTTGGGATGTCTGATCATGTTTGTGTTTCCTCATATCAAATGCAGATGTGGGACGAGTGGCAAGAGAGTCTGTCTGCGGAAAAACAGGTGGTGTGGGGTTAGAGGGCAACACTTTCAAATTGGATGTGAGCCCTGTCTCCAAATTCCCCACGTGCCGCAGGTCCCCACCCAACTGTTTGAGCTTCCTTTTTTACTCGATTTTTATGTGTATAGAATGGAGATGATGATATAGCCTACTTTACATAGTTTTAAAAATTAAGAGTGTATGTAATAGTAAACTTAGTATATTCACTAAGTTCATTCACTACATGATTAGAACCTCACAAATGTGTTTGAAATGGTACTATCATTTATTTCTGCTAGTTTTCTATTTGGGTATCCACTTTCTCTTTGAATTTGATTGTGAGATCTTTGATCGCTTTGGGGTGTGTGTGTGTGTGTGTGTGTGTGTGTGATGTGTGTGTTTTTCAGCATTTTCAGATTTCAGGAGTAGATCTGGCCCAGAAAAGCTCACCTGTGACTGGTAGCGATGGTGACGTTTTATTCTGGTTTTACAAACGAAGAGGCTAAGCCTAGATGAGTTATATAACTGCCTAGACATACGTCTAGTATGGCAGAGGAGGGTTTAAACTGAGTCAGCCAAACTTGACACTGTGCTTTCGATCATAAAGCTGAACCTCCTTCCTAATGTTCTGTAAACGCAGAAAACCACAAACCTCTTGGTTGTTCCTAGCCACCAGCTTCTCTGACCTTTGATTTTTCTCCCATTTTTTTTTTTCCTTTTTGTCACAGCCAGTGGGATGCGATCATGAACTTGGCTCTAAAGCAGTTTCTGATGCATGTGGTGTTTGCAAAGGTGATAATTCAACTTGCAAGTTTTATAAGGGCCTGTACCTCAACCAGCATAAAGCAAACGGTAAGACTTGCTGCTGTCGTGGCGCTGTCGCTGTTGGGGAACCTCTTTCGCTACTGAACAAGTTCGAGTGATGCTAAATGCGGAGCCTTTCCCTGGCTGGCCTCACGCATGGACGATGATGGCTTTGGACGATTCTGCAGGAGCGAGGGAGGGTAGATGGGGTTTTTTCATGCAAAGAGTTTTATCAGCACACACGTCTCAGAGATGTGTGAAACCGGTGCCCTTCGACTTGGCAGTTTTAATAGGCCGACCAGGCTGACTTACACCCCACACCCATTGTTAAATAGAGAACATATTGTGAAACTTAGATAACACACCCTTCACAGCGTTCGATGGATATTGGAAGAAATTACCTAAACGTCTTGAGCAGGATTACACTTTGAGCCTGTTTCTGTGAACGTCACTGTGAACATACATGGCTATCGCTTTCTTGTAGGTAGATGAAAAATAAAAAGCATTCTTGAGTTTCAGGGCCTTGAAGAGTCTCTTCTGTCCGCACACCACTGCTTGGGAAAGCCAGATGCACTTCTCTCTCTGGTGTTCCTACCACTTGGAAAATGAAATAATTGATCAGGTGCACTTTATAGGAGTAGAAAGGGCTGTTGGTTAATGATTCAAAAACCTCACTCTATACAACTGGCCACGGCATGTCTCTGGGCTTTCCAGTCACCTCAGTGGACGAGAGCAGAGTTCTTCTTTCCTCTCAGAGTATTATCCAGTGGTCGTCGTTCCGGCCGGGGCCCGCAGCATCGAGGTCCAGGAGCTGCAGATCTCCTCCAGTTACCTCGCGGCCCGAAGCCTCCATCACAAGTACTACCTGACGGGGGGCTGGAGCATCGACTGGCCCGGGGAGTTTGCCTTCGCGGGGACCGTGTTCGAGTACCAGCGCGCCTTCAACCGGCCCGAGCGCCTGTCCGCACCGGGACCCACCAACGAGACGCTGGTCTTTGAAGTGAGCCCCTTCCGCTCTCGGTTCCCATTGCCTCTCGCTAAGTGTCTCATGATGACCCCAGATGGAGCCAGCTTGAGGGACTCCAGTCCTCCTCGTTCATGTTTCCTAACAGGCTAAATCTGAGGGTGTGAAGGGGAAGGGACAGCAGCTCCAAGGGGGGAGGGGCAGGAATCCAGTGGGTCTCCAGGAGACTGTGAGTGTCACGTTCAGATCCCGGCTGTCCCTGTTACACGTGGCTGTCCCGGATGCTCAGGGTACACAGAGGAGGAAGAGCCTTGGTATCGCCCCAGTTTGTCGGTGTCGGCCATTCGGATAGTCCACTCCCCCGCGCAGGTCACCTGCCACATAGCGGTCACACAGAGCACTAGCTTGCGCACCGGGGACGGTTTAATTGTAGCAAACCAGCTTCCTTTCGCGGGTCGTCCTTTTCTTCCAGGTAAGAAAGGACAATGAATTCATGGGTAAGAATGATAGTGACAACAGCCGACGTGTCTGCCAGTGGCTCTGTGGACTGTCCTCAGGGATGTGTTTTCCTTGGTCCTCGCAGCGTTTGGCTTCTCAGGCGGGGCTGGCCCTCTGCGTTCAGAGGCCAGGGACGGGCTGCGCAGAGCCCGCTGGCTCCCGCGTGCTGAGGCCTCACGCAGCCCGGCACTCAGGTTAGACCTTTCGAGCGCCCGTTTCTCACCCGCAATTTGGGATAGAAAACCTGCCTCGCTGACCCCCAGAAAAAGAAGCAATGAAGCCCGGCTGGTGTGGCTCAGTGCATTGAGCATCTTCCCATAGACTGAAGGGTCCCTGTTTGATTCCCGCTCCGGGCACATGCCTGGCTGGGGGTGTGCAGAAGGCAGCAGATCAATGTTTCTCTCTCACATCAATGTTTGTATCTCTCTCTCTCAAAAAAGAATAATAATAAATCAATAAAAAAAGAAAGCAATGAGATACAAAGGAAAAAGATCTGCCTAACTCACACAGCGAGAGAAAAGGCAGAGCTGAACTGTAGCCCAAAACTTTTCCCTCTAGGAGTTAGATGGCTACGCCCCGTCCAGTCCTACTGCTCTTCTCAATTAAAGGGAACGTTAGCTTAGTTCAATAATCGTCATAATTATTGTAATAACAATAATTGTTATTAAAGGCATTCACCTTAAACCTTTCCTAAGAAAAATGAGTTGAAGGCAGTTTTAAAAAATAAACACATGGCCCTGGCCGGTTTGGCTCAGCGGTTAGAGCGTCGGCCTGCAGTCCAGAGAGACCCGGGTTCGGTTCCTACTAAGGGCACGTACGTCGGTTGCAGTTTGTCCCCGGCCCCAGTTGGTGTCATGTGGGTGGCAGCCAGTCAATGTGTGTCTCTCACATCAATCAATGTTTCTCTCTCTCTTCCCCCTTCTCTCCCTCTGAAGATGAATGCAAAAATGTCCTCAGGTGAGGATTTAAAAAAAAAAAATGAACACTTGTAGCTTTGGATTCTAAGTCAGATATTGTACATGTGGCATGGTTAAGAGTACAGACCCTTAACTAGCTATAAATGTGAGCATGTTTCTTAACCTCTGTGCCACTGAATACCCATTGGCAAAATGGGCAAACAATACTAGCTAACTATGAGGGCTCTTGTAAGGATAATTTAGGATAAGTTCAATGCTTGCAGAGTACTTGGCAATTAACGTTTGTGACGGTGATCATCATGTTGCCTTCGGAGCATATCACATGTATATTTTTCCAGTCTAAACCTCAGACCATGGTTAGCAAACTGTTGACCACAAGCCAATTCATCTTCCAGATCTGCATATTAAAACAAAACGAATCAGTGCTTTAATATGAGGTGATCTCTTATTTTTAAAAATAGAGATTTTGGGGATCTCTAAAGAAAAAAGAATTTCTGGCAGCCAGTAGGTGCAGCATTTGAGTTTGCAATCCAGGCCCTCGATCTTGACCGTGAGTTAACTTCCCATCATTATCTTATGAACTTGAGGTACTGGGTCCTTTCACCTCTGTCTGTGATAGAAGGTCCCTGAAAGATTTCACAACACTAACTCCAGGAGAAGCCATCACTACAAAATATTCTTCCAACCAACCTCTCAGGCCTGTCAAAGGAAGGGCAGAGGAACCCCAAATCAAACTGGATTATAGTCTGGGTGGTTGAAGCTCGACAGTGAACCCCTGAAATTGCATGTTCATTAAAACTAACACACAGGGCTTGAACTCTGATTAAGGATTTCTGGACTTTTTTTTCCTAATCCTTTTCTTTCAGATGCGTATATTTGTTCTCTTTCTTTTCTGTTCAGCATCTAAGCCACAGGCATCTTTTGCTTTTTATAAAGCTTGCAAGGTTTATGCTGTAGAGCAACATGGCTTCATTAATTTAGCCAAGAGGTCTTTGACCCATGTCTAAGCAAATGTACACACACTACGTTTTGTGGCTGAAAATAAGGTAGATCAGTTGGGAAGTGGGGCGAGGTGCCCCTTGTGGCTTCTGTTAATCACCCCTCATGGCTTCTGCTGATCACCCCTCATGAGAAGCGTGTGTTTTACTCCCTCGTGATGAGCAACCATTCTTTGTTGTTGTTTCTCCAGTTTTGCATGTAAACACAGAGCCGTTCAGTAGGTAGCCCCAGTCCTGTCGGTAATGTAAGGTTTGCCGTTAAACATACATCATCCATAGGAAACCCACAACAAAGAGGAAGACAAGAATGACGGAGAGTACAGAGCAGAATAGCAGAGTCCCTTCTTGCTTTCATCTGTGGCCTGAAATATCCCCTGGCACTGTCTGTGTTGATCCAATTACCCGGATAATTGACACATTGTCACTGAACGTTGTACCCGCTTCAAGCTGAGAATTTTTATTTGTTCTTTGCTTAATTTAAGCAGAGCGCTGTATCTTATTCATCTATATTATATAGCCCTGACTAAAATTAAATCTTTAGGCTGTTCACTAGGTCCAATTTTGTTTTTCCAATGTTTCAGTGCTACATTTGAGAAATAGAAGGATAACCTTAGTTAGTGATGGAGTTCTGCAAAATTGGTCCAGTTCATCAATCTATCTTCTTGCAAATACAGGCACTGTCTTGGGGGTGGGGGGACAAAATAGAAGGGGAAATATTGGGTAGATCTAAATAAAATGATAAAAACACAAAATCTTCCCCAGCTTTAATCGGATATGTATAATATATCTTTTAAAAATATTTTTTACTTTTAGATGAATAGAAATAAGAATTATAATAATATCTCTATTAATACAAAAATCATAGTCTCACTGCAGTGGAGTAAGGTCACATTTGCTTAGTTATGGCTTCACAAAAGCCACATTTTATGTCCTCATTCTGCTGTGGCATCAGTGAGAGCTTAAATTAATGTCAGAGGAATGTGACCTGTCTGAAACAACCTAGAGGGAAACTTATTTGATTAATTGAACATGAATTACTTGGATTTTTAAAGGAGTTATGGTTTCATTCAAAATCTGCAAATATGTTGGGAGCTCAAAAAAAAAATCAAATCCAGTGACCAAGTATTATGTCTGTTTTATCTTTTTAAAATATTGGGGTTAATGACTTTAAATTTAAATTCTACTTTATTCCTCTCTGGAGAACATCAAATTTCAGGCCAGTTTTTATCACATGCTCAGACCGCTCCTAAATCGATACAACACTGTAATTCTAAAAAGTTAAAATCACAATAAGCAATAAATTACTTTTTTTATTTTTTCAAAACTAGACTGTATATCAGTATCCAAGTGATCCATGGCTATATTCCTTAAAGGAAGTTCAAGTTCATACGCCTTTCCCTACAACTATGAATTGAACCAAAATGACTACTTCTGGAGCCAAAAATATGTTCACTCCAACATAAAAATGTTGAATGCATTTTACAGTCCTGTGGGATGCTGAAAATCAAAGTAAGGGAGCCTACCAAAATAAAAAGTGCCGTTCCATCCACAGAAAGTGTAAGTTTGTGAAAGAAAGCACTTTCTCCCCTGGCCACTTAAAATATCTGCGCGTTCACTAAGTTCTCATTATAATGTGTAACATCCAGCAGAAGGGTGTGTTTGCCAAAACACACAAGGGTGGCACTTTAAGGATCATGTCCCTATTTTTATCTTGTTACATGTATTAATCAAACCCTCCCAGTGCCTTAGCTAGTTCCCATCTTCAACCCCCTTGGCATGTATAACTTAGGAAACTACCTTCAAAGTAATTTCCTTCTGCTTCCTGTTTCTCCATGTCTGAAGAAAATGTAAATATTTATTGGGCACCTTGTACTAGACATTGGAATACTCGGTGGTTAAGATGTAGATCGTGTCTCGGGTCTTCAAAGGATGTGAAGAAGGAGTTTTGGTACGTGGACCCCATTCTTTCTGGAAGCACGTGGGCTGGAGCAGTGAGCATCCGTATAAACAGCTGGCTGTTCCGGTTACTGTGCCCCTCCCTGTGCCGCTGGCACAAGTCCCTTCAACTACCTGGGCCCCAGTCCTCTCATTTGGGAAGTGATTTCCCCAAACCCATGCTAAACTGATGTCTTCCACTATATCCTATGGCACCGTCCTCATGCACGTGAATAGCACCTGCAACCCCATATTAGCCGAAAGACTGACTCATCTTTGTAGCTTCCAGGGCTGGCTTTAGTACTTGGGACACTAGATGCTCAAGAAAATATTTATTGGATGAAAGACATCCAATGATAAAATCCATTTATATGTCTAAATGTAGAGCTTTTCTTTCCAAATTGAAAAACCATCCATAGAGGTGATAAATGAAATGACAGGAGAGACACCTGGCTGGTGTGGCTTAGTGGACTGAGCATCATCCCATGGACTGAGAGGTCCTGGTTTGATTCCCAATCAGGGCACATGCTTCCGGGCTCAATCTCCAGTGGGGGGGGGCATGCAGGAGGTAGCCGATTGATGTTTCTCTCTCATGGCGATGTTTCTCTCTCTCTCTCCAAAAAATCAATAGAAACATAAATTGAAAGAAATGGCAGGAGAGTTTCTCTGACCGAAGTCAGGAGTGACA